ATCTATCTATCTATCTATCTATCTATCTATCTATCTATCTATCTATCAACTATCTATATCTTAACACTCTTGGTATGTGTATATGTGCATGCGTACACACATGTCTGTGGAGGTAAGTGTGTATTCTCATATGCACACATGCAACGGGAATCACTTTGTTTTTGAGACTGCATCTCTTTCTGTGATCTGGGGCTTGGTTATCAGTAGGCTGGCCTGACAATGAGCCAGGGATCATCCTACCTTCCTCTCCGCAGTTGAATGATTACGTGTTTGGCAGTGATGCCATGTTTCTGATGTAGGTGGAGGAGATGAAGCTCAGGTCCTCATGCTTGCACAGCATAGAACTTGTATGTGCCCTCTCTTTGGATGCTGTGTTCTTTAAATGTTGCTTATGGCACTTTAAAAAATTCATTTATTTTTATTAATTACAGTTTATTCACTTTGTATCCCAACTGTAGACTCCTCCCTCAACCCCTCCCAGTCCCACCCTCACTCTCTCTTTTCCTCCTGTGCCCCTCCCCCAGTCCACTGATAGGGGAGGTCCTTCTCCCCTTTCATCTGACCCTAGCCTATCAGGTCTCATCAGGACTGGCTGCATTGGTAAGGCTGGTAAGGCTGCTCCCCCATCAGGGGGAGGTGATCAAAAAGCCAGCCACTGAGTTCATGTCAGAGACAGTCCCTGTACCTCTTACTAGGGTACCCACTTGGAGACTGAGCTGCCATGGGCTACGTCTGTGCAGGGGTTCTAGATTATCTCCATTCATGGCCCTTGGTTGGGCCTCAGAAAAAAAACCATGGGCCCAGATTTTCTGGTTCTTTTGCTTCTGTTCCCTCCAGGTCTTTCTATCTCCCCCTTCTTTCATAAGATTCCCTGCACTCTGCTCAAAGTTTGGCTGTGATTCTTAGCATCTGCTTTGATACCCTGCTGGGTAGAGTCTTTCAGAGTCACTCTGTGGTAGTCTCCTGTCCTGTTCCCTGTTTTCTCCCTCTGCTGGTGTCCACCCCACTTGCCTTTCTGAATGAAGACTGAGCATCTTATCCAAGGCCCTCCTTCTTGTTTAGCTTCTTTAGGTGTACAGATTTTAGTATGATTATCCTATATTATATGTCTAATATCCAATAATAAGTGAGTATATACTGCATGTGTCTTTCTGCTTCTGGCATACCTCACTCAGGATGATCTTTTCTAGTTCCCACTATTTGTCTGCAAATTTCATGATTTCCTTGTTATTAATTGCTGAGTAGTATTCTACTGTGTGAATATACCACAATTTCTGCATCCATTCCCCAACTGAGGGACATCTGGGTTGTTTCCAGCTTCTATTACAAATAAATCTGCCACAAACATGGTTGAAAGGATCTTTCACAACTCTCTATCTGACAGAGGGCTAATATCCAGAATATATAAAAAAAGAACTCAAGAAGTTAAACAGCAACAAGTCAAATAAAGTAATCCAATTAAAAGATGGGGTAGAGAGCTAAACAGAGAAGAGGAATTTTGAATGGCAGGGAAGCACTTAAAAAAATACTCAGCATCTTTAGCTATCAGGGAAATGTAAATCAAAACGACCCTGAGATTTTACCTTACAGCCATCAGAATGGCTAAGATCAAAAACTCCAGTGACAACACATGCTGGAGAGGTTGTGGAGAAAGGGGAACCCTCCTCCATTGCTGGTGGGAATGTAAACTTGTACAACCACTTTGGAAATCAATCTGGCGCTTTGTCAGACAATTAGGAATAGTGCTACCTCAAGATCCAGCTATACCACTCCTAGGCGTATATCCAAAAGATGCAACAAGAACATTTGCTTGACAATTTTTGTAGCAGCTTATGGCATTTTTATGTTTATATTTTCATATGGACTTTGACAGTAAGACGTAAAGATGGCTATGTCCCCTTTCCCTTACAATCTTCTTTTCCTCCTACCTGGGGTTGGAGGGTTAGAAGGGAGGTATAAGCTTTAAGGAACCCCCAAATAAAGCAGCATTTGAAAAACTAGTGCCTACACCTTTCTGTTTTCTTTTTGAAATTATTAAGTTATTTATTTACTTTACATCTGGGTCACAGCAGCTTCCCCTCTCTCCTCTCTGTCCCTCCCTCTTGCCTCCCCTCCATCTTGCCCTTCCTCCCTTTCATTTCAGAAAAGAGGAGATCTCACATAGATATCAACCAGCCTTGGCATATCAAGTTGCGGTAAGACTAAGAGTATCTTCTCTTGTTGAGGATAGACAAGGCAGCCCAGTTAGGGGAAAGTGGTCCAAAGGCAGTCAACGGAGTCATAGACAGCCCCTGCTCCCACTGTTAGTAGTTCCACATAAAGACCAAGCTGCACAATTTTTACATATCCTCAGAGGGCCTGCATCCATCTCATCCTTGCTCTGTGGTTGGCTATTCAGTCTCAGTGAGTCTCTTTGAGACCAGGTTATTTGATGCTGTAGTGTGGTGTGTGTGTGTGTGTGTGTGTGTGTGTGTGTGTGTGTGTGTGTGTGTATGTGTGTGTGTGTGTATGTTTTTCCCAGTACTCTCGCTGTCCTTCCTTCTTCTACCTTCTCCCTCCAGTTCTCCTCCCTACCTGCTCCCAGACCCAGTCATCTCCTTCCATCCACCCCCAGTGTCTATTCTATTTCCTCATCTCAGTGAGATTCAAGGGTCCCCTTGTAATTTAGCTTCTTTGGGTCTGTGGATTGTAGCACGGTCATCTGTACTATTACTTATTTTCTGTGTTTTCTTGTCTGTTTTCACCTTCCTTTGTTTGGAACTTCCATCTATCATCTTGTGTAGGGCTGGATTTGTGGATTCATATTATTTAAATTTGTTTTTGTCAAGGAATATTTTGTTTTCTTCATCTATGGTGATTTAAAATTTTTCTGGGTATAGCGGTCTGGTCTGTGGTTTCTTAGAGACTAAAAGATATCTGTTCAGGCTCTTCTGGCTTTTATGGACTCTGTTGAGAAGTCTGGTGTAATTCTGATAGGTCTGCCTTTATACGCTACTTGATCTTTCCCCTTGCTTTTAATATTATTTCTTTGTTCTGTCCATTTAGTGTTTTGGTTATTAAGTGGAGGAAGGATTTTCTTTTCTGTTCCACTCTATTTGGTGTTTTGTAAGCTTCTTGTATGTTTTTTAGCATCTCTTTCTTTAGGTTAGGAAATTTTCTTCCATGATCTTGTTGAAAATATTTTCCTGGGCTTTGAGATGAGAATCTCCTCCATTTTCTATTTCTATTATTCTTAGGTTTGGTCTTTTCATAGTGTCCCAGATTTCCTGGATGTTTTGTGTCTGGAACTTTTTATAATTAACATTTCTTCGGCTAACGTATCATTTTCTTCTATCTTCTACTCCTGAAATTCTCTCTTCTATCTATGATATTCTGTTACTAATGCTTGTGTCTGTAGTTCCTGTTTGCTTACCTAGCTTTTCCATCTCCAGGATTCCGTTAATTTTTGTTTTCTTTATTGCTTTTATTTTCATTTTCAGATTCTGAACAGTTTTATTCATTTCTTTCACATGTGATTTTATTTTCTTATATTTCTTTAAAAGAATTATTCATTTCCTCTTTTAAGGCCTCTATCATCTTCATAAGATTGGATTTAAGGTCACTTTCTTGGGCTTCAACTATATTGCAGTCTCCAGGGCTTGCTGTAGTAGAATGGCTGGGCCCTGGTGGTACATATTGCCCTGGCTGTTGTTGATTGTGTTCTTTTGCTGGTCTCTAGCCATCTGGGTTTTGTGGTTATTATAGGTTTGGGTGCTGATTTCTGAGGTGCTGTTGTTGTTGGATGGGTGTGTTTTGGATTCTCCATGCCCCTCCCTTTGGTTTCTGTTTCCTTTCCATCTTCTGGCCTGAGCTGCCTGGAGTTCTGGTGACCAATGAATCTTCAGGTCCAGAAGAATGTCTCCATTGGTTTTTTATGGCTTATGTGGCCTCTGGGCTTGGGAGTGCTACTTTTGCCTCTGGGGGTCCCTGGTACTTGCATGGTCTCTGGAAAAGCAGGCAGAGTTTCGGGCCAGCAAATGGAGCCCAGGGCATTGGGTGCAATTTTTGGCTCACCTAATAGTTTAGATTTTTTCTCCATTTCAGTTTGTAAATATCTAGTTAGTTTGTACTTGTGTCTCTTTTGTATACTTTTAGTAGTTATTGTAGAGTCTTTTCTATTTACTATCTTCTAAAAATTAAAATATAATTGTATCGTCCCTTTCCCATCCCTTTCTTTCTTCCAACGTCTTCCATTTTGCCCATTACTTCCTCTCAAATTCATAGCCTCCTTTTCTCTGATTATTACTATTAGCCACATGTAAACACAGAAACATACACATGCAACTCTCTGAGCATCTAATGTTGCTTTGTCTAAACATTATTTATCATGTTAAAGCAATTGATTTCATCGAATTAAAAACATTCTCTTTTATAATTAAAAATAATGCCAACCTATCTAAAATTATTTATATGTGTCACTATCAGTAAGCATTTTGAAGAAATACTAGGAGAAGGTATTTAAAAAAAAAAAAAAGAACTCTCCATTGATGAAGATGCTCAGGGTCTAATTCACAGTCCCCAAACCATTGGAAGCACCTACTTTCTCTGAACAGCAAAAAACAACAACAACAACAACAACAAAAACTATTTATGAACCTGTGGCACTGAACCATACTGGGAGTGTGCATGCTTTGAGCAGAACCTGTGTTTGAGGACTCCGTTTACAGCTCTGCAGGCCAGGAGACATGAAACCAGCCTTGCCTTTTGCAGGAAGACTCAGTCTGCACGAGGTATTTCAGTACGCGGTTGAAAAGGGGAAGGAACTCCTATCCTTTCCTCATCAGACTAACTCCCCTTCTTTCTTATGATTCCCTGTACTCTGCCAAAGGTTTGGTCATGAGTCTTTGCTTTGAAAACACTGCTAGTTAGAGTTTTTCAAATGCACTCAGTAGACTCCTGTCAATATTCAACGCGCATTCCATCTGTCTTTCATGTATGAATGTAACCTAGAACCTCTGCTCAGATGTAGCCTGTGGTAGCTCACTAACCAATTGGTTTCCCATAGTGAGGGGAACAAGGACTATTTCTAACAGGAACTCAATGACTGGCTCTTTGGCCTCCCCACCCCCCAAGGGAGGAGCAGTCCTGTTAGGCCACAGAGGAGAGCTTTGCAGCCAGTCCTAAAGATACCTGATAAAACAGGATCAGATGAATGGGGAGGAGGTCCCCCCTATCAGTGGACTTGGCAAGGGGCACGGTGGAGATGAGGGAGGGAGGGAGGGCCTGGGAGGGAATGAGGGACCGGGACACGGCTGGGATACAGAGTTAATAAAATGTAACTGATAAGAAAAAAATAAAATTCAAAAATAAAATAAAATAAAATAGAATTAAAAAAAAAAAAGAAAAGGGGAAGGAAGCTAGTACCAGCACGACCTGCATTTTGTCTTACATTTTTGACTCAGTATCGCCAGTTTTGAGCTCACTTAATTACCAGTTACACAGGTAGCATCTCGTATTTTATTTAGTTACTTGCTATGTATTGGGAGGGCATGGTTTGAGATGGTACCTCTTTATGTAGCGTTGGCTCTCCTGAAACTCACTATATAGACCAGTTTAACCTGGAAGTCACAATGACTTTCTTCTGCCTCTCCAGGGTTGGGAGCAAAGCTCCGGTTAATGTAGCCAGAACCTCTGCAGCAGAGAGAAAGCAGGGTCTTTCCTCTCTCACTCCTTGTGTATCTGCTCTGTGAATGTTCAGTCCTGAGGAAGTCTTTCTCACTGTGGTGGACCAGGGAGCATTTGAGATCTGAATCATTCCGATTGTTTCCCTGCTTGGAACTTTAATCCTATGCCGCGTCTGCGCAGTGTGGTAGGGGTAAGTTGTGCAACCAGTATGATACTAATATCCAAGCACAATTTCAAAAAGCACTTTATATAGAGATGAGAAAAGGGAAGGAACTATGAGGAAGAACGACGTTTCCTCTTTCAACCCTTGCCTGTTCTTATCTGATGCCATAGGTTGATTGTGGCTGAGGGGCTGGCATAGTGGGTTGATTGTGGCTGAGAGACTGGCATAGTGGGTTTTTAAAAAAGAAATTCTAGCTTATGAAATTAGCTTCAGCTTACAAATAGAAAATCAAAATTCCAAACAGGTTCATTCAACCGTTAGACCCCTCCCACCTTTTTTTTCCCAAAGGACAGTTTGTGGAGATCTCTTTAAATATTCATCAATGTCTGAAGAAATTGTTGAAGATGTTGTTTATGCAAATCTCAAATTCCAGGACTCTGATAAGAAAGAAGAAACCCCGAATTCTGAAAAATGTGGGGCAGAAGGTAAGATTTTTAGCCGTGGGGATGATGTAAGGCAGTGGCTACAGCCCCACGCTTTAAATATTGTAATTATGCGGTGTGAATTTTTAATTAAGCCTTTCATTTAAACCCAAAGTACCAATGGGATTACAGAGGTGCTTTCTTTCCTTTAAGGCATAAATCACTGCAATGAAACATGTATTTTACATTATTATGGTTATTATTTTTATATTGAACCCAGGTGTGTAGGAGAGGGTGGTATTTTCAAATTCTGGTGTTTTATTGTAAAGTTTGTGTGTGTGTGTGTGTGTGTGTGTGTGTGTGTGTGTGTGTGTGTGTTCATTATATTAATCCACAGAATTAGGACAATACATTGTTCAGGAAAGTTGTGGGCTTATATGTGTCTCTTTTTAAAAAGTAAAGTGCTTGAAAGTAGGAGAAAGAAAAAGAAGAGCAGAACGCTTTTTTATCTGGCAGCTTTCCTTATTGTTCATGGAGTTTGCTCTGTGCCAGGTCTCCAGGGGTTTCCCGTTTTATCCTACCATTCAGATCTCTGTTCTTTGCTTTAAATTTAGGTTAAATTAAATTTGCTTGTGTGGATGCATGCATGTGAACACGTATGTGTGTGTGTGCATGCATGTATGTGTGAGCGTGTGTCAGTCTGTGGGTATGCGTGCATATGTGTGCGTGTATGTCCGTGTGCTCATGCCACGGTAACCGGTGTGGAGGTCTGAGAGCAGCCGGGGAGTCAGTCCTCTCCTCCCACCAGGTGACAGGGATTCAGCTTAGGTTGCCAGGCTTGCACGGCGAGGGCCTCCAGCCCCTGAGCTACCTCACAGCCTCCTGTCTCTATTCTTTCACTGCTCTACTGTTTTTATAATGTTGAGCAGTCCCTTTTGAAATCACTGTCCTTGCCAGATCTGAGGCAGCGGTTCTCTAACCACAGCTACTCAAGAAGCTGAGACAGGATTGGAAGTTCAAAGCCTACCTGGGCCGCAGGATGAGTTCAAAGTCTGTCTGGGCAGTTAGTTTAGCGAGAGCCTGTCTCCAGATAAGTTAAGAAGAGAGTTGAGAGTACAGCTCAGTGCTAGAGCCCTTGATTAGCATGTGTGAGGCTCTGCCCTCAACACAACATGACACACTCAACAGAAAACCCACCATTACCAAAACCTAAGTGAAATTCCTTCAAACTGTGTATTCTCTGGGACACATCCTCCTGGTTTTCACTGTTCCTGTGCCTGAGCTAGTTTTGTTCTTCTGCTTTTCCCGACTTCTTGCATGTGTTCTTTGATGGAACACTCCAGGGATCTTTCCAGTTCTGTTCTTGTGTCACATAATAGGCGTTTCTAAGTTTCAAATTCCTATCTATCTGTCTGTCTGTCTACCATCTATTTCTCTATCAATCAATCATTTTGCAGTTTGTTTTTGTCACTTTAGAATGCATCTAAATGACAGCAGAAACATGCCCACCTTACTGCTTTGTTTTATTAGCAATGACAACAGTGTCTAGTACCGAAATTATACATATCTGATAACTTTTTATCATTTGTTATGATTCATTTACTCTGTATCCTGGTTATAGCCCCCTCCTTCATCTCATAACATACATAAGTGAGAAAATAATTATAACACAAGAAAGCTTATGAGTTTGTATTTCAAACCTCAGATAAGGACTGGAGGATTTACAGTGCCTTTACTAACAATAACTTTCCAAAAATATTAACAAACCGAGGTTTGCATTTAATATGTCACTTGTGAGATTTTACAGCACTGTTATGCTGTCATCTCTTGATATAAGACAAATTTCAAGAACAGGGTAAGAATATGAGGTTATTCTTGAATTACATTTTTTTTTTTTTGCAATTGTCCATATAATGGTGACAGTTTAAATCACGTAATGCCTTAACCATAAATCACAATATAAATTTTGTATCTTTTTAGGAAAATGATCTAGTCTGTAACTTATTGTTCAGAAAATAGTAAAAGCATTACATGAGAAAGTTTTGCTAAAAAAATATCATAGGAAATATTGGGAAAGTTGTAATGAGAAATACAGGTCCAGACTAAGTGAGGCACAGGGCTGATGAGGGACGCCAGGGCACGGTCACTGATGGCCTGCTTTGCATTTCTGCAGCCTCACTCTTGGCTTTGGAGGGGAACGTATAAAAAGTGGAATTGCTTCATCTGTTACACATCACCTCCACACTCCAAAAGGCTCCTCGGAAAGCTTCCCTCTACCTCAAGAAACTCACTTTCCACAAATGTATCCAAGGACACACTCCGCCTGTACTCTCCATTTCTCCTCTCCATTTTATAAGCCTTATTTTTTTTCTTTTTTACATGGTTTATCAATCTAAGGGTTAATGTCTTTGTCTATGAAACTCCTTTCTCATTTGAAAGAACTTACTGAATATTTATTCTTTTTAAAATCATTGCCTTATTGATCTTATTGGTAAGAAATTTAAGACATTTCATGAACAAAAAATTTTGGCGTGTAAGCACAGCATAGTTAAGGACTTGAAACCAAGCCTGCTGTCTTAGTTACAGTTTCCTATCTGATTATTCTTGAAAAAAAAATTAAAGTCTGTGAGTTTCTACCAAAATACTTAGTAGAAAAGAAATGAGAGGAGGGTGAATAAATAAATAAGTGAATGGGTGAGATTAAGGTGTGAGTTGCTTCTCAATACTGTTGGTTTTCTTTTTTCTTTTCTTTTCACAGTATCTTCTGCTCCTTCCCATTCACAGCATAAACCAGTCTTGATTCTGATTCTTCTGTGCCTCCTCCTGTTCATTGGAATGGTGGTCTTAGGAGGCATCTGTAGGTATCACCCCATCCTTTAAAAAGAAAACTTAAATTTAATTAAAATATAGTTGCTCTTAGAGCCTGGGCTGTTGATATTCTGTTCAGGAAGTTGTCTCCTGTGCTAATTTGTTCAAGGCTCTTCCCTACTTTTTCTCCTAACAGATTTAGTGTGTCTAGTTTTATGTTGAGGTCTTTGATCCACGTAGACTTTAGTTTTGTGAAGGGTGATAAATATGAATTTATTTGCATTTTTCTACTTGTAGACATCCAGCTAGCCCAGCACCATTTTTTTGTTGAAGAGGCTGTCTTTTTTTCACTTCCCCCTGCTTGGCAGCCTTGCCAGGCCACATAGGTGGAGTATGCAGGTAGTCATGATAAGACTTGATAGGCTGGGGTCAGATGGTAGGGGAGGAGGGCCTCTCCTTTCTGAGGAATAGGAGAGGAAGATGGGGGAAGGACGGAGGATGGGTAGGACCAGAAAGAGATGAGGGAGAGGGCTACAATTTGGATGTAAAGTGAAAAATATTGAAAAAAAAAAGAATAAAAATATATAGTTGCATAATTCCCCCATTTTCTCTATAATCTATGTCATCCTCCTGCCTTCTTGCTCGCAAATTCAGAGCCTCCTAGTCTATAATTATTATTGTTATATAGATATGTTTATAAATATATAAATGCAACCTGCTGAGTCTGATAGGTGTTACATAAATTTACATATGATATATATTTATCTATACAGATATTTTTCAAGTGATTGGGAGATTTAGGATGCCTTGAGTTGTTGAACTAATGTTTATTCCTTGAAATAAGGTTTTATAAAAACATGCCCCAGGTGGGGCCTTATAATGTGATCAATAGACATATACTTGGTCTACCCAATCACTCCTTTAGAGAAACCTTTTCCTACCACTTTAATATATTAATACTAAAAAAAAAAAAAACAACAACAACAAAAAACAAACCCAAAGCAGAAATCAAAACCTCACCAATTTTCTAATGATAGAATACTGAGGATTTAAAAAGTTTTTTTTTAAAAATTATCTATTTTCTTTTCTTCTTTTGTTTTATTAAAAAAAAAAAAACCTTTGGAGTTTATACAACTTTGGAGACAGAAATGATAAAATTAAATCAATTACAAGACATCAAGAAAGAACTTCAAGGAAATGTTTCCCTACAGCTGATGCACAATCTCAAAAGCTCCAAGAAAATCAGGAACCTCTCCGCCATGCTTCAAAACATAGCCACCCAGCTGTGTAGAGAGCTGTGTAAAAAAGAACCAGGTAAGCTTGTATTGCTCTCAAAACTATTCCCTGGGCAGCAAACTAAACGTTAGAGTCTTCGAAAAATCACGTTCTTACAGAGCCAGTATTAAATGTGGAATTAAATGAGTTCAGTAAATGAGTTTCATAAATGAAATTGATGTTTCCCCAGTTAGAGAAAAACCAGGAAAGTAGTAAAAACTACAGGCTGCCAACTCACAGGGTTCTAACAGTTTCATAATGAAACACCGGTCAGTATACACAGCTCCTCTAATCTACAGTTTATTACCATTGTCCTGCGCACAGATCTCAAGGGATAATGACTAGGGAAAGACGCCTCCTTATAGGTGACTTCACTCCTAGATGGCAGCTAGTGCTGAAGGAGTGAAAGGAGCAGGCAAAGAAATGAAATGCTGGGTGATGCATGGAACCAGGGAAATGGGTGTTTCCTACGAGCACTTTCGTAGTTTTTGTGGCTAAACTGTGTTCCTGAGCTTCTGAAACAGCTCTCCCATATTTCAGGAGTTGAAAGATAGAGAGCCACCTGCTGGGGAAGCCAGACTGATATTATTGTGCAAGCCTTCTTTTTTTTTTTTTTTTTTAGCTAGATGGCATATTTGCTCTGATTAATTTTTAGAGTCATAAGTGAGCTCCCTAATGATGGAGAGTATGCTTCAATCTAGCAAGGTACTTGAATTTTTTTGTTTTTCCAAGCTTTATGTCAGGTTAAAAGGGTGATGTATAGGGATATAGAGGATTTGTTTTCTTTCTTGTTGACCTAAAGAGAAAAAACACAGTAAATTTGGTCAGTGTCACACAGGCAATAAAGTGACAGTTGTCAAGAGTGTTGACACCGACTTGTAAAACTCTGTCTTTCTAGAGCACAAATGCAAACCTTGTCCAAAAGGTTCAGAATGGTACAAGGACAGCTGTTATTCTCAACTTAATGGCTTTGAAACCTGGCAAAAGAGTGAAATGCTCTGCTCTGCCCGGAATGCCAGCCTACTGAAGATTAAGAACAAGAATGTGCTGGTAAGGTTCCAAGTCTCTGTTCCCCCCAGACAGGAATCAGTTTCATATTGTGAAATATGAGGTAAAAAGGGACAAATAGGGAAGACATCATGACTCAGAATTGCTTTTTAATGCAAGGGGAGGGGATTGGGGCTTACACACTCGCTTAAGTATAATCTTAGAAGCTGCAATCGACATGGGTAAGCCAGGGATGCCCAGAACCCTTTGGTCTGCATATTTTCATGTTGGACGTGTAGAAGCAAGTTTCTGTATATGCCTTCTGAAAAGTTATTGAAAAACAGAGTGTATGGTGATCACAGCTAAGGCTCACCACTCCCATAGGTCAAAGGTTTTGTGGCAGGGTTGGAATCCCAACCCCTCCCCTAGAAGTCAAGCATGGACAGGAGATGGCTGGCTCAGGCTCTGTATCCCTCTTTACTAAAAGTCTTAGTTAGGGTCACTCTAATAGATTCCTGGGAATTTCCATTACACTAGGTTTTTATCTTGTCCCTGAATTGCTCCTCCCCTACCATTCCACTTTTTTTTATGCCAGTACCCTTTCCTCCCCAAACCTGATCCCTCCTGTTCTCATCCCGACATGACCTCAGTCCACTATTTTCCCTTCTGAAGGAGATTCATCCATCCCCCCTTGTTACTTTTCCTTTCTGGGTCTGTGGATTGTACAATGCTTATTCTTTACTTTATAGTTAATATCCACTTATAAATGAGTACATGTCGCATTTGTCTTTATGGATCTGGGTTACCTCACTCAAGATGCTTTCTTCTAGTTCTATCCATTTGCCTGAAAACTTCATGATGCTATGTTTTTAACAGCTGAGTAATACTCCATTGTGTAAATGTACATTTTCTTTATCCATTCTTTGGTTGAGGTACATCTAAGTTGTTTCCAGTTTCTGGTTGTTATGAGCAAAGGTGCTATGAACATAGTTGTGCAACTGTCTTTGTGGTAGGATGGAGCATCCTTTGCACAGGAATGGTATAGCTGGGTCTTGAGGTAGATCAATTCCCAATTTTCTGAGTGATTGGTTTCCAAAGTGGCTGTGCAAGTTTTCACTTCCACCAGCAATGGAGAAGTGTTGTTCCGTTGCCTCCCATCCTCGACAGCATGAGCTGTCACTAGTGTTTTTGATCTTAGCCATTCTGATGAGTGTAAGATAAAATCTCAGAGTCCTTTAAATTTGCATTTCCCTGTTGGCTAAGGAAGTTGAATATTTCTTTAAGTGCTTCTTGGCCTCAGTTGAGAATTCTCTGTTCAAATATATATCAATTTTTAATTGGATTATTTGGTTTGTTGACATTTAGTTTCTTAAGTTCTTTTTTTAAAATTTTATTTATTTTTTATAATTCATTCACTTTGTATCCCTGCTGTAGCCCTCATCTCCTCCCAATCTTACCCTTCCTCCTTCTTCTCCCCCTATGTCCCTCCCCTAGTCTACTGATAGGGGAGGTCCTCCTCCCCTTCCATCTGACCCTAGCCTATAGATGTCATCAAGGCTGGCTGCATCATCTTCCTCTGTGTCCTGGCAAGGCTGCACCCCCCAGGGGTAGATGATCAAAGAGCCAGCCACTGAGTTCATGTCAGAGACAGTGCCTGCACTCCTTACTAGGGAACTCATTTGGAAACTGAGTAGCCTAATGGGCTTCCTCTGAGTAGGGGTCTAGGTCCTCTCCATGCACGGTCCTTGGTTGAAGTATTGGTCTCTGAACCTGCCCCCCCCCGCCCCAGGCCCAGGTTTTTTGCTATGTTGGTCTCCTTGTGGAGCTTCTGTCCCCTCCATGCCTATCTCCCTCTCCTTCCATGAGGATTCTGGCACTCTGCCTAAATTTGGCTATGAGTCTCAGTTATTTCCTTTGATACTGGTGGGTAGAGTCTTTCAGAGTTCCTCTGTGGAAGGCTCCTGTCCTGTTCCTTGTCTTCTCCTACCTCTGATGTCTTTCCTTTTTGCCCCTCTAAGTGAGGTTTCAGCCTCTTCTCTAGGGTCCTCCTTGTTGATTATCTTCTTTAGGACTGTGGATTTTTAGTATGTTTATCCTATTTATATAGCTAATATCCATTTATAAGTAAGCATATAACATGTGTACATATTTTGAAAATTAGCCTTCTGTCAGATGTAGAGTTGAAGAAAATATTTTCCCATTTTGTAGGCTTCTGTTTTGTCCTATTGGTGGTGTCTTTTGCCTTATAGAAGTTTTCAGTTTCATAAGGCCTCATTTATTAATTGTTGATCTTAGTGCCTGAGCTATTGGTATTCTCTTCAGGCAGTTGTCTTCTGAAACACTGACATCTTAAGAAGCACTTTCAACTTTTCTCTCTTTTCCTTTCTTTCTTACCTTCTTTCTTTTCATCTATCTATCATCACCATCTTTTTATTCCTCTCTTATATTTATGTATTACATCCTGACTGCAGTTTTGTCTCCCTCCTCTCCTCCCACCTCCCCTTTTCCTCAGATCCACCCTATCTCCACCTCTCTACAGAAAAGAACTTCCAGAGACAATAACCCAATACAGAATCACATGCTAAGATAAAAACAGGCACATAATATCACATCAAGGCTGGACGAGGCAACCCTTTTAAATGACATTGAAAAGTGGTAACGCAATGCCAAAGCTACAAGGTAGTGTACAGACAGAAGAAACACCTTATTAAACAGGCCATCTCTGTCTCTGCAGGAATTTATAAAGCTCAAAATGCTACGCAGTTACTGGCTGTGGTTGTCACCCAGAAAAGATTACAAATACCCTGAGACAGTGAATGAGAAGTTCCTCTCTGAGGGGTAAGTCTTTGTTCTTGTTAGATGTTTATGGTTAGACTTGAATGGAGACAACTTTTTCAGGAGCGTGGACGATTGCCTTTAGAACCAGCTTCACGCGGCATCACATCTGCTGACAACTGTCCCGTCAGCAGTATGTGATGCATTTCTTTACACAGAGAGTTGCCGTACATGTCTTCTCGTTATTTCGGCAAATCTCCAACAACCCACAGTATCAAACTGTGGAAACTATTTTTGCAGTTACTGCTTATAGTTAAGAAGATTGCAGAATCCAAAACCATTTACTAGACACCTTTAAGTACTTAATATTGTTCTATATTCTGGAATTCAAAGGTGAATGCAAGATTGTCTCAGCTCTAAATTGGTTAATCTTGGGCTGTAAATGTAAGTGCACTGTATGTGTGTGTGTGTTTGTGAGTAATACACACGTGTGTATGGTACATAATGTGTGTGTGGTACACATGTATTGTTTGTGTGTGTGTGTGTGTGTGTGTGTGTGTGTGTATGTGTGTGTGTGTGTGCGTGCGTGTGCTTCCAGTGGAAGAGACAGAAGACAAACGCTGGTGTTATTCTTTCAGTACTCTCCACTTTTGTTTTTGAGGCAGAGTTTCTCACTGCTCTGGAACTTTCCAAGTAGCCTAGGTTGCCAGCGAGCCCCGATGATGTGCTTGTCTGTGTCTCCCCAACACTGGGATTATGAGTGCATGCTATCAGGCTCAGATTTTATCCATGGGCTCAGAGGGTTGAACTCAGAGGACTGTGCTTGCTAGGGAAGGACTCGGCTGTTGGGATCATCTCCTCAGCCCTGAAGCAGAGATTGTTGAGTGCAGAAGTTGAAGCCTCGCTGCACAAGCATTACAGTGTCAAGAATAATATGACCTTCCACATAGGTTGCATACATGGCTTTATATAAACTTCTAAGTATATTTTGGAAGATGTGTATAAATACAGTGCTATAGCTGGATTCATACATTGTATTTGTTCTGCATTTTAATGAGAACAAATGAAGGTTTTATTTGCGTCAACATGCGAAAATTCCACTTGCATTTACAATCCTTGAAATTAAGGAAACTGAATATGAGACTAGAAAAAAGAACTTTTAGTTTCAGTCTGCTGGGTATTGTTGCAGGACCCACATTTATCACAAGCCACAGGAGAGTCTGTGCTCGCAGATGCTATAACAGAGCATCTGAGCCTTGGAAATGGAGTTACAGGCAGTTGTGAGCTGGGTGCTGGGGACTGAATTTGGCTTCTCCACAAGAGCAGTGTGCGCTTTAACCACCGAACCATCTCTCCAACCCTGTTACTATCTGTTTGCGGCAAAACTGGCAATTGAATTCAGAATTTTGCATTGGCCAGACAGGAACACTACCATCGCGTTGCACCCTGACTCCTTGACCACAGGCTTGTTAGTTGGGGACATATCACATTGGAAACCATCCAGGGCCACCCCGCTCACAGTCTACCAGGCCGAGGCAAAACACTGAGATTTCTGCATGCTGAGCACCACAGGTCATACCAAAACCACTAGCTTCTGTTTCTCTTTGTGTTTTGTTTTTTTCCCCCTCAGTGAGGGTAAGAGTGTGGGTCACAAGAGCAACGCACTGACAGGATGGAATGGGGATGAGTTCACATTGAGGAGGGATGGAGGGATGCCCTAAAGGTCTCATTTGCAGTGAAGGAGCACAGCTAACACCAGGGGGTGAAGTAGGAGTGAAGACTAACGAGTCTTACCTTTATAGAACGGAATAAAAGTGTGCTAGAAATTACTGCACACGGGAAGATAAGACACAAGGGAATGAGAGCAGTTCACGTTTAACATTGCCAAACGGTCCTTAAATAAAAGCTGTAAAATCATCACTTACGTGGTGCGTGTGGGTATGTGTGTGGTGTGTGTGTATTTCATGTGTGTGGTACACATATACGTGGTACGCATATGTATGTGGAGTGTGTGCATGAGTGTGAAATTTTGTGGTTATTCTCAGCGTTATTTGGAGATTTGGGGGAGAGGAGAGTGATGTTTTCTTTGACATCATAGAAAATCTCACTTTTTTCAACATTTAATTATGTGTCTGTGTGTATGTCTTTTTATATGAGTATTCACGCATAGTTTCAGGTACCCAGGGAGGCCAGAAACATTATATACCTTAGCTCTGGAGTTATAGTTGGTTGTGGGCCACCTAACGTAAGCTGGGAGCTAAGCTCAGGTCTTCTGCAATCTCCTTCCTAACCACAGAGCCATTTCTCCAGCTCTCTGGAAATCCGGTTCTTGAAAACTTAACTTGCTACATTCTCTCACAGCCCTAGGGCCGGACCTGAGTAGGGCGGTGAGGCAATGAACAGAGGCAAGCACGTATAAACAAAGTCTGGCTCTCGGATGGAAAAGCCGAGACACCTCAGAGGTTCAGCCTGTTTATTATATACTGCTGCATAGGGGTGTGGTAGGCGATTGCCAGGGTTTATTGTATAGAGCTGAACAAGGAGGCCGGTTCAGTGGGAGCAACTGTCTGAAGGGGAGCAATGTTCAGGCCACAAATATCCAGGTGAAAATCTTATGGTGAACGTTTTCCACATATACTATCAGATGGACCAGAGGAAGGCTTTGTCATTTACTGTGTGGGTTTGAGGCCATGGTGCTTAACATGACCAGCTCGTGACAACAATCCCCCCCAAACCTTCACACACTCAGGGCTTCTGCTCCCCACACTAACTGATGGACTTATTTGATGATCATTATTAATTGGCCCGAGTCAGTGTTATGTTTATAAAAAACACAGTGTTTTTAATTTATATATATATATATATGTATTTGTTATTACTTGTCCAATGTTACCATCCACTAGTCAGAAGGAATACCTGAGCTATGGTTAGGAGGAAGTGCCACGTGAGAGGTGGTGCAGGACTTAAGATTTCCTAAATCGGGTTTATTCCAGTTTTGGTCATTATGTAAAATGCTTGATGACAATGGTGCCAGAGCTGCACTACTGGGTAAGTTAAGGTAAAGACTTATGAGATGACATTATTTTAGGTCATATCAACCACGGGAAGAAAGGCTGAGTCTGGAATCAAATGGTAGAAAGTATTCCAGATGTGGGAAGTCAAGAAAACAGGGTTTTGCATCACAAATATATAACCCAGCCACCGACTGAAACTTAACTTAGACGATAGGACCACACAAACGTGAATGTTATTCTGAAAATTCTCATCAGTGGGTGTAACCAAAATATAAGTTGCCAAGTGTGATTATTTTTCTCTTGCAGGTTTGAAGGAAGCACACATGACTTAACTAGGATGTACTGTGGATATATAGATGGAATGTATGTTTATTATATGCTCTGCACCGACAAGAATAGGATCATATGTGAGGAGACAGCCAGAAAGGTACAGGTGGAAAGTGTGCTGAATGACCTCCCAGAGGGCAGCACATAGCGACTGTAGATGTTTGTCCCTAGCTACAGGTCTGCTAATTTGAATGAATATGGTCCCCATGGGCTCAGTTGGTGGAACTTTTTCAGAAGCATGGGAAGGTGTGTAGCCTTCTTGGAGGAAGTGTGTCACTGAGGGCAGGCTTTGAGTTTTCAAAAGCGATGCCATGCCATTCCTGGTTAGTTCTGTTTTGGTCTCGTGCTTGAGGATTGAGCTCTCAAGTAATACTCAAGGCCACGTCTGCTGCCTGCTGCCATGGACTCCAGCCCTCCAGAACCAGGAGCCCCCAATTAAATGTCTTCTTTTACAAGTTGCCCTGGCAATGGCGCTTTGTCACAGCCATTCAATAGTTGCCAAGACATCTGTCCTTCAGAGGAGCATCAGGCAGTGTGTATCTCCTACCTCATTCAAACATAGTAACAACAAGGAGACTACAGTTTTGCCTCTCCTAATGTTTATGTCTAGATTTCTTGGCCTCATTGGTTGACTGTCAGGATACTAAGTCATAATTTGTTACCATGTATTTTTCAGCCCACAGTACGCTGAAAACAAGACCATGTAGCCTATTTTTCCACAGATGGAGTAGGCAAATTCCAACTTTAAAGAAATTAAGTCTGGAAATATATAGAAAGAATAGTATGATATGAATAATTTGTATCAAAGATTTATTAACATTTTCAAAAAAAAAGATGTGAGGGAAAAACAAATTTTTCAACTGACATAGCAAAGCATATGATGAAGACTTAATTTCCTGTCATAATAAAGCTTTGGAAACTAGCAGTTGAGGTCCCAAACATAATCATGTTTTCACATGAAATAAACAGTAAAAAAAAAATAAGCAAAAACTCTGAAGTTTTAATTAAGATCATAATTCTAGTAAAAGAAAACATATTTCAAGTTTTATAACAAGATAAGAATGAACTTCGTCAGTCACTTCATTTAACAACTTCTAAAGTCTGTTAGAGATTCAGCAGTAAGAGAAGGCAACAAAAAGGCATATAAAATTTGAAAGTTAGGAAAGATTAAAATAAAACATTTTATTTGTAGATAATATAGTTATATACACGAGAACCAATATAGTTTTTAAAGTGTGATAGTAAGCATTATATTAAAATCACTGGATAAGAAAAATAGCCCTGAGCCCAGATAGTTTGGTTCTGTTGCTCTCCTTGTGGAACTCCTGTACTATCCAGGTCTTACTAATTACCTCTTCTTTCATATGATTCCCTGCCCTCTGCCCAAAGTTTGGCTATGAACCTCAGCATCTGCTTTGATACACTGCTAGGTAGAGTCCTTCAGAGGCCCTCAGTGGTAGGTTCCTGTACTCTTTCTTGTTTTCTCCTTCTTCCAATGTTCTTCCCCTTTGTATTTCTAAGTGAGGATTGATCCTTTTACCCTGGGTCCTCCTTCTTGTTTGGCTTTTTTAGGTGTACAGACTTTAATATATTTATTCTATCTTATAGGTCTAGTATCCACTTATAAATGAGTATATACCATGTGTGTCTTTTTGCTTCTGGGATACCTCACTCAGGATGATCTTTTCTAGATCTCACCATTTGCCTGCAAATTTCATGAATTCCTTGTTTTTAATTGCTGAGTAGCATTCCATTGTGTAAATGTACCACAATTTCTGTATCCTTCCTCCATTGAGGGACACCTAGGTTGTTTCCAGGTTCTGGCTATTATAAATAAAGCTGCCACGAACATGGTTGAACAAATGTCCTTGTTGCGTACTTGAGCCTCTTTTGGATATATGCCTAGGAGTGGTATAGCTGGATCTTGAGGAAGCGCTATTCCTAATTGAGAAAGCACCAGATTGATTTCCAAATGGTTGTACAAGTTTACATTCCACCAGCAGTGGAGGAGGTTTCCCCTTCTCCACATCCTCTCCAGCAAGTGTTGTCACTTGAGTTTTTGATCTTAGCCACTCTGATAGGTATAAGGCGAAATCTCAGGGTTGTTTTGATACTCCAACCAAGGTACATTCATGAATATAACCTAGAACCCCTGCTCAGTCGTAGCCCATGGCAGCTCAGTATCCAAGTGGGTTCCCTAGTAAGGGGAAGAGGGACTATCTTTGACATGAACTCAGTGGCTGGCTCTTTGATACCCCCCTCCCTGAGGGATGAGCAGCCTTGCCAGGCCACAGAGGAGGACATTGCAGCCAGTCCTGATGAGACCTGATGGGCTAGGGTTGGATGGAGGGGGCCGTGGACCTCCCCTGTAGGTGGACTTGGAATGGGGCATGGGAGGAGATGAGGATGGAGAGTGAGATTAGGAGGGAATGAGGAAGGGGGCTACAGCTGGGATGCAAAGCAAATAAAACGTAATTAATGTAAAAAATAAAAATTTAATTAAAAATCACTGGATAAAATTTCACAGAATTCAAATGTTTCTATGTATTAATAATAAACAATTGGAAATAAAATTTTAAATGGAATCTCATTTTAACAGCTTCCCAAAACATAGACCATTAATTACACTACTAAAAAATGTTAGCAAATATCTACATACAGAAGGAATGCACAATTTAAGCCATTTTCTTTCCTAGGGATCTGAATATTTAATGACCGGTAAGCAGACTTCTGGTTACAGAGTCTCCTATTGAGACAACCAAATACTTCATTGAGAGAATATGTCCCTGGTCAATTTCTCCTTTTCTTTCTCCTCCATGAGAGTCTGAATCTAGAAGCATACTTGACATAATAACCCCATAAACCAGTGTTCATCAAAGGACATTTTGCTGGGAACTAAACCTGTATCAGTGACCAACAAGAATGCTCCAAGAAAGCAGATACTGCGATGAAATTTGGGGCTTGAAACATCTGCTGCCCAATGGGTAATGAAAAATCTATCACTGTATTAGAGGGGGAAAATGTGGAACTAGAGAGTAATGGCATAATTATTTTAAAAAGACAAATCTTCCCTGGATTGGTGAACCGGTGGAATTAAGAATGTATCAGAGAGATAGCAGGTGTTTGAGAAACATGGGTAGAATATAAATGGTAAGGACAGGGAACTTGGGGAACCATCGACAACATTTTACCTGATTCTTTAGAAAAATAAGTGGGAGGACTATAAGTACATAATCAGAAATGAGATAAAATTTCCCAAATGTGAGGGCTACCATGACGTTGAATGAGAGAGTTCATATCTCATTTAATGGGAAAGTGAAGACAAGGAAAGGTAATGGGACTTAATAATATGAAGGGAAGAACACCAATGAATGTTAAAAATTGAACCTGGGCAAAGATCAGAATATGGCCAAAGCTGGGAAGGCAGTGAATGGAACATAGTTTCTTGACCCACCCTGGCCAGTGAGGCTAAGCGGATTGAGGAAAATGCCAAAGGGCCAGGTGGGGACACCAGAGAATGCCACGTGTTTGGGCTCAAGAGTAGTGCAAACAAAGCACTTTTTATCTTGATTATTAAAGCAATCAAAATATAGGGGTGTTTGCAGTTGGTTAAAGCAAATACAAGTACAATGAGAGAATATACTTGGTGTTATGTCTTATCGACTTTGGTCTTACGAAGAGACAAGAATATTCTTCCCAAGCCTTTACCTTTCCCACAGAAATAATGTGGACCTGTCAGGGCATTCCCTTCAGGTACTCGCTTTCAAGGCATCCACTTAGTTTATGCAACTCTTTCCAAAAGGCTACCATGTGGAAAGGACATTCTGTTCCTTGCTGCATCCAAAGTTCATAATAAGTCCATCGCTTTCTTATACAGGCTTCCACAATCTTTTGTGTTTTCTTAATGACCTCCAATATCTTGAGCCACAGAATTTTTTGAGTCCCCAAAGATTTCAGAAGAGACTTACTCCTTTATGCTACTAGATAACTCTTTGCTTGAGGACATGGCTTAGGCTTTTTACTATGAATCAAAATGCATGTCCTACTCCCAAATCTTTACCAACCCAACTTCCTGATCTAGTCAAATAACTAGATCATCTGACTGTGGAATTTCCTTCTGAGTCTCCTAACAGAAGGAAAAGATTGTAGACCTAAATAATGGGTCCCACAGAAAACAGAGCAAATTCACATGGGTTCAAACCCTCAGAGATCAAAGTGGGGAAAAGTAAATTGGCTAAGAGAAAGCTTGTTGGTTTAGGTTCACCTTCCTGGGCTTTACTACTCTACTAAGACATCTGAGAAGTTGTGCAAGCTTGCCAATAGGAGACACTGCATTGCTTATGATGGACCTTGGTGCAACAAAATGTCTGGCGAAATCAGTTTTATGGAGGAAGGGTTGATTTTGCTTTACATCTTGAGCGTAGAGTCCTTGTGATGGGAAAGTTAGGGCACCCTGTTTCTGTTCAAAAATGTCTTAGAACCTATCCTGAAGACAAGAGAGATATGTCAGTCCATCCCACAGTATTATTGCACTCACAGTAAGGGAAGGTGTGCCCTGTATGTGAACTTTTAGAGTCCCTGCAAGGAGACCCTGAGGAGTCACTCCATGCATCTTTGAAGAAAAGCAGAAGTTTCACTGGAGACCCAAGATGTCACTAGCATATGCAAATGAGTTCTCAGGCTTCCAAGCTCATGATTAGGAGAGTGGTGTATGCACAGCTTATGCCAAGAATGGCCCCATGTTGCTGAGCTATTCATCTGAGAGAGCTATTCATCTGCGCTTCCCTCTGAGAGACTTCTCTCTAATTTGTTAGGGTTACCTGAAGGTTAAGTCAGTCTTCTTGGAAGTGCTTTGTGTTGAGTAGGGAGTAAATATGAGTAGGGCAGAAACTGTCTCTTCTATTCTATCAATGAAGTTGTTATATCTCCTGGATTCCCACTGGAGAGCATCCATTATGTTTCTTAGCCACAAGTATTTTCCCTGGCCATGGTCACATGACAGCTAAAGTCATGGTGGCGGGAGCTTGAAGTATCCTGGTCATGCTGCATCCACAGAAACAGAGATCAGTAAGTGTTTGTGCTCAGCTTGTTTTCGCTTCTTCACTCACTTTGGGACCCCAGCCCATGGGATGGTGTCTCCCACGGTTACAGTATGTCTCCCCACATCCATTCACCTATTCTAGAACAGTCTTCACAGGCATGTCCAGAGGCATCTCTCCTGAGTGATTCCAGATCTTGTCAAACTGACAACACTGTGACAAATATTGATTTTTATCAAAAGGCATGAAATCCGCAAGGAAGGTATGCTTCCATACTAAGTAAAACAAAACATATTTGCCTTTAGGGAAAAAAAAAAAGAGAGAATAAAATTTCAAAGATATGGGAATATTCCAGAAGAGGGTCAGTGTACTGGAGACTCTGGGTCTTTAGCTCTGTCCAAAACTTACCTAAGTTCCATCCAGTCCTATTCTTGCTTAGTAGTTACTTGGAGAAGTCTCTGGAGGTTGTCTTAACTTGCAAATCAAAAGCCTGGAGGCTCCAGTGTTAGAGTTTGTTTTCTGGTGTCCAGTTCTTTGGCTAGAGAACACGGGAGTTAACAGCATGCACAGACTTTTCTGTCCTTTCATGAGCATTGGAAAAACAAACAAATAAAAAATCAACAACAAAAACACGCTGAAGCTTTATGTTGGCTGTTCATTTCTGGTAAGTTTTGCAAACTTCAGAAGAAACCAGAAAATGTCAAATGATTTATTTTCTCTACGTGCATACTGAAGCTCTACTACTATAGAAACCCATGAGACTCTTGACACTTGTTTCCAGGTGAAAACAATTTATAAGTATTCGCTGTTGTGTATAGCATTCTATTAATGTACCTTACAACACTGAAACTGAATCTTAGTCCTTTTAAGTCTGGACCTTTGAATCCAGAAGTTTTAGATTCTGTTCTTAAACTTGTTCCCTAAAACAAGTTTTGGTGCTCTCTGCTACACAAGTGTGGCAGGAATGAATGGTTTGGTAGAAGATCTGTCATGAAATAGAATCTGGACGCATGGAATACCAACCCAGAAAACCTTCATGAGGCTGGAAGGAACCAGTTTTCTCCCGGGAGGGTTACTGTCTCCTGGTAGTGGTACCGAAGAACTTCCCCTGGTCTTCACTAAAGGAAGCCAGTAGCTGGAAGAAAACCACATGGTCTGACTCTGCTGGAAACAGAAGACTTGGTCTCCACATGCAGCAGCCCCTGCACAGCATGCATTCAATCTTACCTGCTGTGGAAGGTGATGAACAATACTCCAAAGAGCCGGTGGTGCACATCTGCAGTCTCAGCACTTGGGGGCTGGTGCAGGAGGATCGCTGAGTGGCTCTTTCAGAATATTTGGATTTACTATTAGATCCCACTTGGTTTCACAGACATCTACACAATCTTTCTTGCTGCATTTAGAAACTCTGGAGAAATTTCCAGCCCACATGCTTTCAGTGCGCCATATTTAATTAGCCGTATGGATTTGACTTACATCTTTAAATGAAACTAACTACCTTCGGGTATGCAAAGAGAACATATGTTTTAAGCACAGCACTATCACTATGGCTGGGTCATAATGGTTGGCCAGAGCAACAGAGAGCAAATTAAGGCAGTCTGTGATCCCAGAATTCTGGCAGTGGTGGCAGGAGGATCAGAAGTTCAATGTGATCCTTGGCAACATAGTGACATCAAGACCAGCCTGCAACACATGAGAGCGGGCCTGCTTCAAAAATCAAAAAGCAAACCAAGAAGGAGAAAGTAGAACTCCACTATTTAAATGATGCTCCACTAAGGTTAAGGTCTCAATATGTTTTGTGTTCTTCGAATATCATACATTGTAAAAATAGAGGTTTCAAGTGGATGTAATCAAATGGAAAACATCTCTAAAATGTTAAGAGCATTTCTGAGGCACAGTCAGGTTTAATGAGAGAAAACTCCAAAGACCCTCAGATTATTAAATATGGAGACAGGGAATTACAAAGTGAACTATCAAAACTCTTTTATTTTCCTCCCTTTAAATTTCATTTGTGTATGTGTGCACGAGGAGGCCAGAAGAGGGCATCAGAGCTGTGTGTACTCCCATCATGCTCTTGTAGGAGGCCTGCCGTGATATCCTCGTGCTGGAATCCCACTTGCAGTCCTAATGATTACACAGGAAGCTCTCTTAACCTTTAGTCATTTTTTTTCTAACCCCGTCTTCCATCTCATTAATGAGGCTTTTAACGGCAGAATCTTCAGGGTAAGAATTTAATAAATCCATAGAAATAGTTAACTTACTAACTTAGACTTTGTGACCCTTATG